TGGGGGGGGGGGGGTCAACAGTGGGAGGGCTTCTAATGTCCTGGCCCCACTGGTGGACCTCCTGATGGCACTGGTATTTCTGGCCACTGTGTGATATAGAGTGTTGGACTGGATGGGCCTTTGGCCTGATCCAACATTGGCATCTCTTATGTTCTTATGTTCTTAAAGCAATAGTGTTTTCTACTGTTACTTAGTAGTGCTGCCAATGTGTGGAGGCTGAAAAGATATTATCTCAGTGGCTGAGCTGTGCTTTGGATTAGGACCTTCCTAGCTTGAGTTCCGGGGTGTACCACCTCTCTGGGAATCCCCACAGCCCCTATCTGTTATGGGGAGAAATCATTATTCAGGATGCACGTTGCTTGTTCCTGAAATAGGTCCGGGTGCTGTAGACTTGTAGATTTTGTTGCTGTGATCTTCCTTCATTGTGACCGTGTGGAGTTTCTGAAGGCACAAAACGAAATGGGCAATCCTCTGCAATGCTCCCTCCAAGCTGTGGAGTCTTGTGAGCAAAAATTCTACTTTCTGAGTACACCGGTTTTTACACTCATTTCAAAGGTCTTCCTCAAGAGTAATCTTATAAAGTTCTTATAGAGTTGGAAGGTGTTTTCTTCTATGAATTGTCAGCTTATCTTTAAGTAGGCTTTGTAGCTCATACAAAGTCAGCTTAGAGGGAATACTGATCCTCTGCCCTCCGAGAGCTTACAGTCAACAATTCTTTATGGTTCTCGAATCTGAAACCTTCTGATAGAGTTGGCAGGTTCTGTGCAGCTGCCAGAGTTTACCGAGGTACAGTGTTGATTTAATGACGTGCCTTTGCTTTTCTATATATCTTAACGGAAGATTGGAAATCTGTTCTTATAACCGCTCTGCTAATGTATGTTTTATTCTGCTGGTCCTTGGACCATAATAAATTATGGATTGATCGATGCAGCTGGTGAAGGGAGGGAGGGAGAAAGACGACTGAGAAGGGAAATTTGGAACTTGAGGAAGGTTGCATGCAAGAAGTATGCGCATGTCATGGGTGTGATGTTTCCCCTTTCCAGATCAATGGTGTGGCCAGCGAGAACATGTCTCTGGAGGAGACGCGGCAGCTGATTGAGAAGTCGGAGGGGAGGCTGACCTTGCATGTCTTGCGGGATAACAGTCAGTTCCTGGTCAACATCCCTGAAGTGAGAGACAGTGACAGCGAAAGCTCCCGGCTGGATGGTGAGGGGGAGAGATGAAGACTGAAGGGGGGTGGGCCTGCTATACACATACCATGAGTGGACGGGAGCGGAGTCAGACTGAGCCCTTATTCCCAAAGTGTGCCGTGTGAGAAGTGAACCAATTTAGTGATTGAGGCTGCCCACTGTGTCTCTGTCTGATTGACTGCTCTGGCTTTTCTTCCTCGCACTCAGGCTCTGCAGGGAGGAGCTGATCCTGTCCTGCTATCTGCATGGGGTGTCACTGAATGACGAGGCTGCCTGTTGCATCTCTGAATGAGTTGCCGCGTTGGGCATGCCAGCTTCCAGTTAGAAGGCAAGCCCGGGTCAGCAACTCATGCAGGAGCCCAGGACGTGAGATCCTCTGAAGCTGCATAGCTAGCACTTTAGACAGCCACGGCAAATTTGGGGGAGACCGGCAGACCGTAAGTGAGAAGCTGCCCTCCTCTTCAGTGTCTGTGTTCCTAGTTAGCTGGCTGGGCGACTAAAGAGGCATTTGGAGGGCAGCAAGTATAATTTATATTAAAAGAATCATAGAATCAGAGTTGGAAGGGGATCTCCAGGGTCATCTAGTCCAACCCCCTGCACAATGCACGAAATTCACAAATACCTCCCTCCCACACACCCTGGAAGGGACCCCCAGGACAATGCACGAAATTCACAAATACCTCCCCACACCCCCCCAGTGACCGCTGTTCCATGCCCAGAAGATGACAAAAAATCTCCAGGATCCCTTGGCCAAACTGGCCTGGAGAAATATTGCTTCCTTACCCCAAAGTGGCGATCAGCATGACCCAGGTGTGTAAGAAAGGGCCACGAGAACTAAGCACTGAGGCAGCCCTTCCTGCCCTCTGTCTCACAATCTGCCCAGGATTTGAAATATCTCATGATCTGAAATATACATGTATGTATGTGTATGTATATAAATATAAATAATATGTTTCTTTTTTCAAATACACTGCAAATTCTGAGTTGAGAAATATGAGTAAATTATAGATCTACAAGTGGGGACCTGCGATAATTGCAGGAGGGGATTCCTCCCCCTGTCTCTGATGATTCCCCTTAAAGCTTGGGGGGGCAGGAGACTAATGGTGTGTGTGGGGGAATCCCATCTCTCCCCCCCATAGCGATTCAAGGCCCCGCCACCCACCTTTAGCCAGCAGCAACTTTGCCTGGGAGCCACTCTGAGCCTGGAGGGCTCTGCTGCAGCACCTGGGCCCAAGGCGGTTCCCGGTGTGCTCTGCTGCAGTGCCTGGGCACAGAGCCTCTCCTGGTGTCTGCTGCTGCTGAGGCCAGGCAAAGAGCTGTTCCTGCCATCCACCACCACCAGGCAAGGAGCCGATCCCAGCATCCGCCACAGTGGCAGCCGGCCTGGTGCGATTTCCTGGGCCGCTGCCAGCTGGACCAGTAAATCAGTAACCTTCTTTACTTTTGGGGGGATTTAACCCTCCCCCATGTTGGGTTTTTTTTTAATGTTCAGATTTTTCTGCAAACCTGAGGAGTGCCCCAAGTTTGAAGAAAGGTCTCTTAAGCCTCCACGTGGCTCCGATCCTTAGATTTAGCTATCTGCAGGTTGGGGCCATGGGCGGCTAATAGTATATAGATGTACGAATATCTTTGCATCTATATTCTTTTTAGTGCCGTTTTGTCTGCCGGCCTCGACCGCTTACATTTTAATATTTCGGCAGTGAGGTCTTAGAAACTCACCTTCAAAGAAGGAGAACGGATTTTTCTCAGGGTTCCGTGCATCCTCCCAGTTGCTATCCATTCGCAACGTCAGGATACGGGACTCCTGGCTTTGGGTAGCCTGTTTTCAAGTCATAATGTGTGTGTGCTGTTTTCAAATAGCACCTTATGATTTAATTTTGTTTGGTGGGGCTTGGAAATGCACCTGGCAGGGCTTCTAGCGTATAGTAGTGTACTGCTGGCACAGTGAGCTCAGAATCTAGAAGCAGAGGTGGAATTTGGGAACGCCTCTTTGCAAAGTTGGAGCCGAACTTCCGGCAAAGGCGGAAGGGGGACTTGGGATTGCTAGGAAGTGGCTGTTGGAGATGAAGAATGACTCCCCTCCTCCTCATGCCTGTCATTTCAGACATCTCCGATCTGGACTCAGACCACTCAATGCCTCCCCCAGTGGGGCGTGCCCCGCCTCCTCCTGGTTCTCCGCAGAGGAATTCTTTCCCGTAAGTGACTGTGTTCTACTTCTGATGCTGCTTCCAAATCTTGAAAGGCTGAAGGCAGCTAGCGTCGGGGCAGAGAAGAGGCCGCTTCTGCTTCAGGGCCTCAGCGAAACTGCGCTTTGTATGGTTCCAAAATTAGACGAGGAGACTGGATTTATACCCCACCCTTCACTACCCAAAGGAGTCTCAGAGCGGCTTACACAAACTCCTTTCCCTTCCCCTCCTCTCCCCACAACAGACACCCTGTGAAGTAGGTGGGGCTGAGAGAGCGCTTTCAAGAACCGCTCCTTTGAGAACAGCTCTGGGAGAACTTGTGACTGACCCAAGGTCTCACCAACAGCTGCATGTGGAGGAGGGGGGAATCAGACCCGCTTCTCCCAGATTAGAGTCCACCGCTCCTAACCACTACACCAAACTGGCTCCCAAGAGATTAAGAGAGCCATCCTGGCGTGGTGGTTAGAGTGCCGGACTGGATCTGGGAAATCCAGATTTGGATCCCC